TTTTATGAGTTTTAAATTATAGAAAGTATTTATTAAAATAAAAATTATAAAGTATATTAATTATGAAAAAAATAATATATAAATACAAATAAAAGGTCTAACCTAATTTAGACATAAGAAGATCACCTGTAAGCTCCATGTGACTACTCAAAAGAAGGTGGAAAGGATTTACGAAATTTTTTAAATATTCTTTGATAAAACTTCAATCAATATCAATTTAATCAAATGCAAACATGTATGAGTGGTGGTTTAACATCCTTTTAGAGGTTAATACCCCAGATCCTGACACAGTCTTACTTCCCGGATATGAGATTAGATCTCTACAACCTCTTGATTTGCAGGTGCAACTGTGCAAGATTAATCCTTTACAACATCTCATTTCGAGTATAAGACGTTTATGAGTGCAAAGAAAATCCCCCAAAAAAAAATCTCAAGAAAGGGGTATAAATTAAGCTCTCAAAAATGCTTCTAAAAATTGAAAAAGCAAAAATTCAATCCATGATCGATAAACCGTGGCTTGAAGGATGAAGAAACTTCTTTCCATTTTTCGCTCAATGAATCCTACAATTGTTCTGTCTACCCCAAGTTATTATTGATATAAAATTATTAAGAAGATTGATTTTAAAAATAATTATATATTTTTTTTATGAACCAAAAATAATTATATTAAACGATGGTGTATGTGAGCTTTAGTAATTTCATTGATTGATATTATTTGCTAAACAAACTAAGAACTTCCACTATATAAGAAGGCAAAATAGATTTGTCTAAGAGAAAATTAAGTAAAAATTAAAACAATCACGTATTAAATGTTTTAATTTTTTTATAAAATTATTTAAATATATTTAATGAATCTTTTTATCTATATTAATTCATTATTAATATTTTAATAATTATTATTATTTATATCATTTTACTTGTAAAGAACTCTTGATTTTCTGCATTCTCTTTATTTCATTTGTAACTTTAAAATATAGATTAAAAAATACAATAAATATATTTTTTAATTAATTTACATGAAAAACTTAAAAAAAGAAAAAAAAGGATGACCTTATTATTTTTTTTTTTTACGAACAGATGACCGGAACACCGATGCCTTAATTTTTATGGTTTCGCACAAAAATTGCGAGCAAGTTTTGAGTTGCATGTTATCCCGCGCATGGCATATGCTTCTTTTGCGCTCTCTAATGGCCACTCCTATGCAACTTTTCCACACCTCTTCCTTTTTGACTCATCGCCCTGTATCAACCCAAGTAAAAATCTCTAGTTTCCCTCAAAAACCCATCAACGCACCTTCTCTCAAAGAGATTTGCGAGCAAGGAAGCCTTAAGGAAGCTTTTCAAGAATTGACAGTTTCCTCCTGTGGCCAAAATTTACCTGACTTTTACCCAGATGAGACTTATGTGCCACTTCTTGAGCTTTGTGCGAGAAAGAATGCTCTCTCTCAGGGGCGACAAATTCATGCCCACTTAATAAAGTCTTTTGCTGTCTGTGAGTCGGTGTTTCTGGGCACTAAGCTTGTCTTTATGTATGGTAAGTGCGGGTCACTTGAGGATGCAGAGAGGGTGTTCGATGGAATGCGTCAAAGAACGATTTTTACATGGAATGCTATGATAGGGGCTTATGTTTATAATGGGGAACCCTCACGTGCTCTTGAAACCTATTGGCAGATGCGGGTTTTGGGAGTTCCTCTTGATGCTTGTACTTTTCCGGGTGTGCTTAAGGCTAGTGGTGTGCTTAAAAGTATTCATTTTGGTGCTGAAATACATGGGCTGGCTATCAAATGCGGGTTTGATTCTACTGTGTTTGTTGCTAATTCGCTGGTTGCCATGTATGCAAAGTGTGATGATCTCTGTGCAGCAAGGGGGGTATTTGACAGAATGCCTCAGCAAAATGATGTTGTGTCATGGAATTCCATAATTGCGGCATATTCTGCTAATGGGCAATCCATGGGGGCATTGAGACTCTTTAGGGCCATGCAAAAGGCTGGTCTTGACACAAACACTTATACTTTTGTTGCTGCTCTTCAGGCTTGTGAGGATGATTCTTTTAGAAAACAGGGGATGGAAATTCATGCGGCTATTTTGAAATCAAATCACCATTTTGATGTTTTTGTGGCCAATGCTTTAATTGCCATGTATATCAGGTGTGGGAAAATGGCTGAGGCTGCAGCAATTTTTGATCAATTGGATGAAAAGGATAATGTATCTTGGAATTCTATGCTTACAGGCCTTGTCCAAAATGGTATGTATACTGAGGCTTTACAATTCTTCCATAAATTTCAAGATGCTGGTCGAAAACCTGACTGGGTCTTAGTAATAAGCATAATTACAGCTTGTGGCCGGTTGGGTAACCTGTTGAATGGAAAGGAGATGCATGCTTATACAATAAAACATGGACTTGATTCGGATTTGCTAGTTGGAAATACACTTATAGATATGTATTCAAAGTCTTGTTGTCTGAGTTATATGGCTTATGTTTTTGATGAGATGCCTGATAAAGATTTCATTTCATGGACAACAATAATTGCTGGCTATGCACAAAACAATTTTGGTAAAAAGGCTTCAGATTTATTCCGGGAAGTGCAATTAAGAGGCATGGAGGTGGATGCAATGATGATAGGAAGCATACTGCCAGTTTGCAGTTCATTGAAATGCATGTCTCAAGTGAAAGAAATTCATGGGCACATCTTAAGAAGAGGCATATCTGATATTGTGCTACAAAACACAATCATTGATGTTTATGGAGAGTGTGGAAACATGGATTATGCTGTCCGAATGTTTGAATCTATTGAATTCAAAGATGTTGTTTCTTGGACAAGCATGATATCTGCTTATGTCAATAATGGTTTTGCAAATGAGGCTCTTCAATTGTTCCACTTAATGAACAAAACTAATGTTCAACTTGATTCTGTAGCACTGGTAACTGTGCTCTCTGCTGCTGCTAGTTTATCTGCTTTGAAGAAAGGAAAAGAAATCCATGGCATTGTTGTGCGGAAAGGCTTCAATGTGGAGGGATCCCTAGCTACCTCTCTTGTGGATATGTATTCTCATTGTGGAATGTTAGAAAATGCTTGTAAGGTATTTAATGCTATTTTTAATAAGGGCCTAGCTCTATGGACCAGTATGATAAATGCAAATGGAATGCATGGCCGTGGAAGAGCAGCAATTGATTTATTCAATAAGATGGAGGAGGAAAAAATCATTCCAGATCATGTAACCTTCTTGGCCCTTCTATATGCATGCAGTCATTCAGGTTTAACTAATGAAGGTAGAAGAGTTTTTGAATTAATGAGATATAAGTATCAGTTAGAGCCATGGCCAGAGCACTATGCTTGTCTGGTTGATCTTCTTGGTCGTGCAAATCAGTTGGAAGAGGCGTGTGAATTTGTGAAAAGCATGCAAGCTGAACCTACTGCTGAAGTCTGGTGCGCACTCCTCGGGGCTTGCCAGGTTCACTCCAACAGTGAAGTGGCTAACCTTGCAGCAAGGAAACTTTTAGAGCTGGAGCCAGAGAATCCAGGTCACTATGTGCTCATATCTAATGTCTTTGCTGCAAGAGGAAGGTGGAAAGATGCTGAAGAAGTGAGAATGAGAATGAAGGGAGGTGGTCTGAAAAAAAATCCTGGATGTAGTTGGATTGAGGTGGGGAATAAGGTTCACACTTTCATGGCAAGAGACAAGTCTCATCCAGAGTATGACGAGATTTATCAAAAGTTGGCTCAAATAACTGAGATATTAGAAAAGGACGGAGGTTATGTTGCTCAAACGAAGTTTGTTTTGCACAATCTTTTAGAGGAAAATCAGAAAGTTAAGATGCTACATGGGCACAGTGAAAGGTTGGCAATTGCATATGGTCTGCTTAAGACTCCAGGGCAAACATCTATTCGAATAACAAAGAATCTTCGTGTCTGTAGTGATTGTCATACTTTCTGTAAATTAGTTTCAAAATTCTTTAAACGAGATCTTATTATCAGGGATGCCAATAGATTTCACCATTTCCAGGGTGGGGTCTGTTCCTGTGGAGATTTCTGGTAACTGTTCCAATTATGTAGGTGATCTATCTTCTGCCTCATTCCTCCTGCTGGCATTAGATTCACTCATTAGTGAATAAGCTACAGTTCCATTTATCACTGCCTGGTGCTCCTGTCAAGTCATATTAATTGACTTTACGGTGAAGAATGTGGAGGGCTGATCTTAGCTCCTACTTACTAGTTTTCTGAGGTAGAGCAACATCTCAACATATGTAATCAGAATGTTCCTGGAAAGTACATGGACACTGGATTGTTTATTCTTCAAAAGTACAGGATTTCTGTTCAAGTGCTTCAGTATTTAGCCTTGACATTTGACACTACTAACAAGATAACTGCCAAATGATTCAATTGAGAATGTGATGAAAGACTATGGTTTTGAGAGTTTCTGATGTCAGATGCCACATGAAATGAGGTAAAAGAAGATGAATGTGCAACTAAATTGGTTCTTACTTATTTTGTTCCATGCTTGATTCATAGTAGCCGTGCATGCTCAATTGCAAATGATCCCTATGCATTACGATGAATCTGTTTAACAAAGGTTTGTCAATATTCTTATTGCTTCATTTCTCCACAGTTCCTACTTGCTAGAGTAGTTAATTAAAAGCCTTACATTTTATCATCCCCATGCATATGCAAAGAATCTGTTTAACAAAGGTTTTAAATTGTTGTACATATACTCACATTGCTGGTTTGGCAGTTAATCAACCTGCAGGTAATTCTTTATGTGTATGGTATGGTACCAAAAAAGAGTAGGGATGAGAAAGGCAAGGTAATTGTCTAAATAAGTTGTTACGTGTTATGTCAAACGCCAATTCTGTACAGAAAGGTCATCAGGAAATCATAATGGATGCATGGTTGTGGTCCTTGAGAAGGATCATATGGGGGAATTAAGGGATTTGGTTGGGACTTTTATTAAAATCCAAAGTTGACAGTTATGGATGTGAAACCAAAATCCTTAAACTCTGCCTCTTTACATTTTGCAGATGATCAAAGCTGGGTGGTTGGAGTGAATTTAATGTTCTTTCCTCCAAGGAGACAGGTTTGCCCTGTCTCCGAGTTACCGATGGACAATAGGAAAAGGCAGAAGATTGTTGTTTAGTTCACATTGCACAGGACCACAGCTACTAAAAATAAGAAAAAGATCTGCTGCAGCTGCGTATACACACAATGTTAACTAAAGGATAGGAGAAGGACAAGGGGCAAAACCTGCTTGCTTCTATTTGTAAAGACAACTCAAGGTTCTGGTACATATTGATTAGCCCTTACTCAAAAGTAATTGCGTTCATCCTTATTAGGAAAGTGTTGTAAATTTGAACCAAAATCAATATTCAAATGCATTTCATCCGTCTCGCTGTCACCTATTTTGCCTTACTGCACATTAACATGTATGGCATGCGTGCCTGGTAAAAGGAATTGCCAATGTCATGAAAGTTAAAGGCATCTACACAATTCAATTGGTTGAATTTCTGTTAGAAGTAGGCGAGTTTTGGTTATGATCTGATTAAGATACATGCATTCTTTATCTATCTTGAAAGTTCATGACCTATAACCAATGCAGCATTTTGAAGAGACTGAACCCTGAGTGGGTACTGGATGGGCAGTGGGCTGGGCCATGTTAGGTCCAAGAACTGTGATTCCAGGACAAAACCCATGTGCTCATGGCAAACCCTAGCTGACCCTAAACCAGAAAGTAGAAACAAAGTTGAATCAGGGGTTTATGCGGGACTAAAAACTAGTGTACGTGGCTAACTATGTGCTAGGATGAACTGTCCTGAAGCATGCTTGTTTGAGGGAAAGAGAAAAAAGGCAGCGGATGCAACCATTACATTGTTAACACTTACAAGTGCTCTGCCAAGTCTCCTTCACCTCTGTCCTCTCTCTATCACGAGTCACAAGGTTTCCCATGCCCCCTTATCTCCACTTCATAGCTGAAACTTCTTGGTAGTAACAAACCCCTGTATCTTTTGTCATCATTTTCATCTCCATGTGCATGATCTTAGCTGACATATTTGCTTCTTCTCAAATATTTTAACCCCATTAATATTTTGATTGGGCAGGCGTGATAGAGGATAAAGAAAAGAGAAAACTCCTTTCTGTTTATCAAAGAAAAAAAATGGGAAACTGTCCATATCCATGAATTACGTGGCCTTCTCCTAAGCCACCCGAATAGTTTCTCGATGTATGGGAAGTAAAGCATTAAAACTCATCAGCCTCAAGAATTGACAACTGAGCTTTAAACCAAGGCTTAAGGAGAAATGAAGAGCCCAGAAAAGGACAGGAAATGAACTCCCCCAGGACCCCAACCTTCCTACATCGAAGTTTTAAAAGAAGTACTGTTTTTTTTCCCTATCTTTTTCATCTTGGAACCCAATAATTGCAGGGCACACCGGCACAGGGCTGAGGGCACTGGCCTTCCTCTGCTCCTGCCCTGCATGAACAACAGTCATTTGAAATGGGGTACGAACCCTATGTTCCTCCACAAGACACTATTCCAAAGCTCACTTGAGAGATCAACCTCAGAGCCCCCACCTGCCACTGGCATGCCGCCCTATAGTTCTACCACCTGTGAACCTTATCATATATAGCTTCTATCTTCATAGCTTCCACAGTAGCTTCTCTCTTTCTTAGCTGTCTTCATTATTCTCTCTTTTATTTCACTGTTTCGCAATATGGGGGTGGTCTTCTCCCTTCATCACCTTACCATGCATCCAGCCCTCCCCCTTCTCTTCACTCAGATACCCTATAAATATTGCAACAGCATTTTACTTGTTTCTCCGACTCTCATCTGTACTACACTAGACTAGATTTTTAGGGTTTATCATCTTATGTGATTTGACTTGTATATGAAGTTCTCTATATTTTTCCATTGTAGCTTGTTCCATTTTTCATGTTTTTATTTTTACTATATATTACCTATATGCTTCTTTAGGAATACCTTTGTTGTTAGAGACGCACCACCTTCTTCTCTTTTATGGGACTTACCTCTTTGTACCAGGAACTTTGATTCCAGGTCCTTGTGTTCCATTCTCTTCTTGTTTAGGTTGCTTAAAACCATTCCTGATAGTCTCCGTGGCACATACGCATGATTTGAGGAATATTTTTCACTTTTTTTTTTTTTTTTTACTTTCTTCCTAAAGGTTGTTCTTTGGGCTCTCTTTTCCTCATTTTCTACAAATTGGGTCTATATTCTGGGGATAGGTATGATGATTGTTAATTCTGACTACCATTGCAAGCATAAAATCTTGATGGATGTTGACCTTGCTTTGCAAGTTTTGAGTAGTCTACAAAGGAAAAGGTGAAGCTGCCAGCATGATCTATCTTTGGTTAGTGAGAGAATCAAAGAAAAGAGAGCTAACCCTAGCTAGGTCATGCCCTGACAGCCTCACTCCTTCCTCCTTGGAGACCCAACAGATTCCAAAGTATAGACACGCTTCAAATCCATAAAGAAAAGCATTTGAAGAAACGGTATGGGATAGGGATATCATTGTAAGTATATTCCTTTCTCTTTTCCTTTTATTTTTCAAATGTCAAAAGTATGCATTCGTTCTAGCCCCTTCCCTCTTTTGCTTTTCCTCTGTTTTAAGATAGGTACATTGCATTCTCCAAGCATACATGGACTTGACTACATGTGCTACTTCAGCCAATTTGTACATATATAGGGCTTGAAAGTTCAATGGAGTTTTTTATTTGGTCATTTGATGTTTGATAGATACTAACTTGGAAGTTAAGATGATATAATATTTTATGTTAATTGTTAATTTAGTAAATAAAAGTTTTTCTTTGGGTTTTAATCCGTAGAAGAAAATATATAACTAAAATATCCCTATTTTCTTTCCTCTCTCTTTTTTTTTTTTGTCTAACCGAAATTAAAAGGCTTTCCCTATGTTTGGGGGAAACAAAGAATCAAAACTCTTATCTTTTGAGTGGGAATATGCATCTTATTATTTGCATTACAAGTGCAAGTTTTCCAATATCCATTTAACTAGGTTTTGATACTTTTGAAATGGGTCCATAACTGAAGGCTAGGGTTTGTAGAAGGGCGGTGTTAAAAGTGGTGTGAAATGATGATTTAGTCATGTCGGCCACTGACTTCTAAATTCAGGTTCCTGAGTTTAACCTAGATGACCATGATCCATATCGTGCTTATTCTGTTCTTGTAATATAATAATGTAGAAAAAAAAAATCTAAATGCCAATGGGGCCTCACTGTAAGAATATTTCTTTCATTGCCGGTATCTTCACTTACATTGATTGTTGATATTTCAAAAGAGATACTGGACTGATAACATATCAAGAGTTCCATTTTTGAAACCTGTGGAAAATGTTGTTTTTGTTGAAATTATAACATCAACATCTGCGCTACTCTATTTCTTTTGATCTGAGTTAAAATATTATTAGTAACATTAAGTGATGCGGCATGTACAGATTAAAGAAAGTTTTTTCTCATAAACCAAGATTTTGCGTCCACATAATATTAAAAAAAAATCTTTTATTTCTGGACTAGCTGAAGTGGATAGATTGCATGGATTCTTTCTCAATAGATGGAAATCTCAAAATGATAAAAAGAAAAATAATTTATGGATACGTAAAAGACAGGAAAAATATATAGTATAATATATGTTACAATTATTTTTTTAGAATAAAGATAGAATAAGAAAAAATAAATTAAATAATTTTTAAAAAGATTAATAATTAAATTTAAAATTTTAAAATAAAAAAATGTAAAGAAAAATAAAATTAAACGGAGGGTGTAGCTGAGAAATAGCTATCGAGGGATGTAATTATTTAGATCCAATTGGGGCCAAATTCTGAGTAACTATTGTTTGGAATATTTTTTTGTTTGCCAAATTTTAAAGGCCATGATTGTATGATGACTGTCCATGATGCCATTGGCTGGTTCAATCTGTCCCCATCCTACCAAAGGGATCCAAACAATTAAAACCAAACAAAATGTCAAAATCAACATAAATAACTAACTTTATCAGGACAAAAATCTAAAAAAAAAATGTTTTCAAATTTTTTTTCAAAGTAAAAATTAAAAATAATTTATATATTTATTTATATCACTTTTATAAAAAAAAATTAAGATAAGAAAATTTTAATGATAAGGTGTATAATTAGTACAAATTTTAGTTTAACATATATATTGTATAATATATTTAATTAAAAAATTATAATTTTTATATTTTAATTAAAAGTGAAAAAATTTAAAGATTTATATTTTAATGGTTGAATTACATTTAAAAATTACTGTATAATTAATTTAAAACATATTTTGAATAAAAAATCACAATTACCTTTTTTCAAATAGCAAGAGTGTTTGTATGTTAGTTTTTGTATATTTCAAAATTTTAAGGGTATATCAAGATTAATCCCTCTCAAGGTAATTTCAAGGGCATATTCTTACATTGATTTAGTAAATTTAAAAAATTAGTTTCTTTAATGTTAAACTTTAAAATTTAAACTTTGAACTTAGTCTAAAAAAAGGACACTTACTCATTAGTAACTACACTCTTAATTAATCCAGAAGATCGTCTTTTTAACATTGCTTTTAATACGCAGCTGACACCAATTAGATGTAGCAAATGCAAGCTTCTAAGAGAAGAATGCCCCATTTTTCAAATAAAAGTGAGAAAAAAAAAAGAAGAAAAATTAGATGCCCGTGTGTATATATATATATATATATATATATTGTATATATATCGAATGACGGGATACAAAATATATGGTAAACCCTTGATATTATTAAAGTAGAAATTTAAATTCTCAATTATTGAAATATCGATGTAAATTTTTTTCTTATAGCCACAAATGGTAGTATATGTCATTTTTTATGCAATATACTAAGCTTATCTATTTAAGTTGGTTAAAAATAGACCATTTAAAATAAATCAAGAAATAGTAATAACAATAATCGAGTCACGTGATGATGTTAGGTCATGAATCTTGAAATACTATCCTTCTATCCCCTCCTTTCAATATGAAAGTGAAAAAATGGTCCCCCCCCATATTGATTCTACTTGAGCTTTGCACTCTTTTTTTGGAGTTTCAACTCTCAATATTGAATGGCATGTATTTTATTTTATTTTTTTAGAAGATGTGAAAAATTAAAATGTTTTAGTATTAAAAATATTAAAATATTTAATTATAGTTATAAGATAATTGAACAGAATCTTTTAATGTTATTTAATATTTTAAATGTTACAATATCTTTATTATTTTATTTGATTTTTCTTTTGAAGATGTAAAATATCAGAACATTTTTATATTAAAATTAGTAAGATATTTAATTGTAGTTGTAAGACAATTTTGGCATAATACTTTAATATCATCTAAAACTATACATTTATGACATTTTTAATATAAGACATCTTAATTTTTTTTTATTTTATTTTGAAAAAGGTGAAAAAGTGTGTTAAATTTTGGAACTTCTCAATGCTTTTGTCTGCGTGTTATTGGCGTGGGCAAGATGATATTCAATTTGTCTCATTTTGGGACCACTGCCATCTGTCTTCTTCTTAATGTGATATCTTCATATGCAATATATGATTATTAATTAATGTTTTGTTTGGGGTTTTAGTGCTGGATAATTTTTTTTTTTTGAAAAAGATATTCCCTTTGAATTAGAATAATGGATATCTTTTATTTAAAATTTATTTTAGAATGATAATTTTTTTATTTTAAAGAAAATAAATATTTTTAATTTAATTTTATAATTATTTCTTAATTTTAATTATTTATTATCTTATTAAAATAGTTATTTGTTTTTATTTAAAGGTAGAAATTGTGTTTAAATGCTTAATCTAAAAATAAAATTAAA